GTCTGCTGCTCCAACTATTATAACTACTGTGGGGAGTAGCTAACTAAACAAGATGTAATAAACACTGTAATAGTTAAGGGACAGATTCTGCCACTTCGTACTTTATTCTTTGATTTAGTCTTTATGCCTTGGTCCTGTTGATTTCAGTGAGTCTACTGGAGGGGTAAGGTGCTTTTCAGCATTAGTATCAGTGGCAGAATCTGGCTGTAAATAAACTTCATTATCCTATGCCTGATAGGAGAGGAGAGAAGTGAGCTACTTTTTTGCTGGATGAAGATCAATAACATTTTCTTCCTAGTGGGTATTCACCCGCGAAAGCTTATGCTCCAATACATCTGTTAGTCTTTAAGGTGCCACAGGTCTCTTTGTTGCATTTTCTTCCTGGTTAGGTCTGTTAAACTGTGTTTATAGTCAGGATAGAAACACTGACCATTAACTATAGCTGTGATATGTGCTTATCTGTAATGTGCACGTTTTTATACAATTCTTTACTTTTGAAAAAAAGTTGTGTATTTTAGTGTAGGAACAACATCAGCGTGTATGGTTTGTCAGCTAATTGTCATGACAGAGCATACTGCAGCAAAAGGGATGCAGGGAAAATAACTAGGACTTTTTCCAGCTCATGTTTCATCAGTGGAACAAGCTTGATGGGTAAAAGGACCAGCGTCTGGCGTTCGGGGAGGGATATTGCTGATAAAGACATAATTGGCAACAATCTAGATCTTTATTTCTCCTGGATGTTTTATACGGCTTGTATCAAATTGTTTCCCATTTTAAATAGGAAACGCTTGTTAATATTTGCAGTGTGGGTAGTGCCCAAAGTCTCCAGTCAGGATCTGGGCCCCACTGAGCTAGGTGTTGCACAAACACATATGAAGCTACAGCCTTTGCTTTGGAGAACTCAGAGTCCTGAAGGAGAGATTTGAGACACATCCTCTTCCATGTTTGAAGGGATGTGCCAGTAATTCCCGCTCCTCACCAGGTGCTTTCAAAGGGCCTGATGGTGAGATGAGCTGTGATGCGTTTGAATGTTGTATGTGCTGTGCACCTCTCCGGGCGATAGGTATTTCTGTCTTCTTTAACAGGGGAACATAAACTGTCTTGGTTTTTTTTTTTTTTTAAATGAGGAAAGGTGCTGATTGTGCGTAATGAATATCAATTACTGCTTTCAGGCAGAGAATCCTGTCCCGGTGTTGTGATGTTCCTGGTGCTTCATAAACCATATTTCAGTGGGTGAGGACCTGGGGATCATTCTTATTAAAAGCTATAAATATTGCTGGACATGGACACATGAAAAGCTGTATGTAGCTGGCCTACAAATAATGTTTGCTGGAAGGGTATAAAGGTGCTGACATTTTAAACTATTTGATTTTTAAGATTTTGCTTTGATCATTGTCAGCGTGGTAGCTCAGCAGTCACCGGAGTGGAACCAGTTCTTTCAAGGAATCTGTTCCAGTTGTCTTGCTTGTACATGGCTCTGAACGTCTTGCAGGCTCTTGAG